AAGCCTCTAGTTCTTTCAAATCAAAGTACGACTGTGGTTCAGTTCTGGGAAACTTTTTAGAAGATGCATTCATCTTAACCGTCAAAGTCAGTTGCAGCACAAGGGAAAATATACCGGGAATGGTATGACAATGAGTAGATGGTGTTATAGGTATGTGACTTCCTCGACTGGCCAGTCTGTCTGTGCAGGTATTGAATGTGTGAAATAAACCTGAAGTTAGAATCAAAAGTGGCCCAGAGTCTCAGCAGTCTTGAAACACACCTTTCCTTTGACTTACAGAGGTCCTTTAATTCCCTGGACCAAGACACGGGGAAGTGAGTTGATGAAATGCATACAGAGGAGGCTGCATAGTGGTGTGGTTTGGCATTTAGATGGTGTGGTCAGACCACCTTTTATGTCCTATTTGTGACCTGGGAGGCATTGCCTAATTCTCTAAGCCACAGCTTCCGCATCTGGAATATAAGGGGGATAATCTGTAGGTGTTTCACAGAAGGGTGAGGAGGGTTGAAAAGATAAAATGCATGTATGACTATGTAACACTTTGGGCCTAGCACAGAGGAATCACAATAAATGCTGGAGGTTTAATTATAAAGAAAGCCTTGTGCCTCCTCTGATGAGGAAGAGACAAAGACATTTTCATGATTTTTCTTCTCTGGAAAGAAAAGAAGCAGGAAAGAAAGGGTATTGAGTGTTAAACCTTCTTGATTTCTATAAGATTGGAGCCCACAAAAAGGAGCCAGCTGTGGCTTTGCAGAGCCCAGCACCAGCAGGGTGCAGAAGTTTTAGCACACAGCTGGTGGCCACCAACACCCACTGCATGGCCGTCCTCAGGCCAGGCTGACACCGGAGTGGCCTTTGCCCCAGAGCTGGCTTTCTGGCCCTGTGACCATCACCTGCACAGGTTTAATGCTCACAAGGAACCCATTTGGGCTAAATTCTCTACAATTGCCATCTGGCCCTTCTTATTAATTCTACCCTCGAAGGTGTGTTTTTAAAAGCAATGCAGTGGAACACCAGAGCACACATTTGCACTGGGGAAATGCTCAGGCAAAGGAGAAGGCTTTCTATTCTAGGATGTTCACAGGCACATTGTCTCCTGTTTCTAAGCGAGAGGTATTGCACTTTTACTTTGCCCTGGGCCCTGGAGACAAGGTTAAACTGGAGCACTGCCCTGTCTGCTCCACTGGCCCCCAGTGACCATTCTGAAGTCAGATGGAGAGGCTGGGATTCACTAGCGACCTAACAGGTAGAGGTGAGCCAGTGTTCCTGGTGGGAGGCCAGAAGCACACTATGCACAGCCCTGGTAGAGAAGTCCATGTAAAGCTGGAGGTAGAAGCTTTCAGGGCAACCTCCGGGGGTCTAAATCCCATCCAGAAGCCAACGTCTTGAGCACCGCGCACCCCACACACTATAAGCAGAGCACCCTGGGAGAGCAGCCAGAGTCAGTGCCTGACGAGCAGGCCAGAAAACCCCGCAAGCCAGCCCCACAGTAAGCACAGAAATGTTCCTCATCCCCATGGCCAACCATGATGAACACTCAAAGAGATGAATAGCACGATTAATTAGTTATATTATTATATTATATTTTACAAGTGCTGCTGATCACTAATAATGCCTACTGCTGATAATTATAACAATAACTAAAAAGTGGGAATTAAGAGATTTGGGTTCTTGTCCAATCCGGTCACAATTCACTGGAATAAGGTGGAAAAGATCTTACGCTTCCCTCAGTCTTCTCATCTGTGAAATCACGAGCATAATAACTTTTATTATTCATTTACTGCGTGTAGTGGGGTTGCCAATGCCAGCCTCGCACCTCTTGTGCAAAATCAGACACTTTAGAGCGGCCCGATGAACTCAGGTTGGCTCTGGGAGGCTGAGGCAGGAAGACAGCCATGTCAAGCCCAGACTAGGCAGCTCAGCAAGTGGGTGAGATGTGGCTCGAGGTGAAGGCCCTGAGTTCCACCCTCAGTGCCAGTAAGAGTGTGTGTGTGTGTGTGTGTGTGTGTGTGTGTGTGTGTGTGTTGGACGGATGACACAAATCTGAATGCCTATCGCCGTTACTAGAACACATGTCCTTAGTTTGGGGAAGGAAGGCGGCCAAGACACGCGGGGTTCTGTTCATGTTCCAAGCCTGCAGTCATTCTTCGAGATGAATTTATTTTATAGCTGCCTTGAGATATAGTGATGGCACCCAACCTCCCCCAAAATACAAGTTTGTGCGTGGCAAAGCCTGAAATCAGCTATCGATTTCTGTTCTGAAGCCTGTCCTGTCACCCTTGCTAGAGCAGAGTCCCTTTTCTGAAAGGGATGCTGCAGTACTTGCAGGCACAGCAAGGGGCTTCTGCCCATCCAGCACGTGTTTTCCTGCTGTGTTTGAGACCTGTTTGCTCCGGCTCCACCGCTCTTGCTACAGTTCTGTTGGAGTTTTTCCTGGTGGCCTTGGTGCACTTAGACTCCATGGGTCTGGACCTCTCATCTGCATTGTCCTGGAACTCTCTGGCCAACTCACCCTCGAGTCTCTGTCCTTTAGTTCAGTTCGTGGAATTCATTTGATGAAGTACAACAGCGAAACTAGAAGTCAAGCTTCTTCAGAAAATTCACAAAAGAAAAAAATTCACAAGCAGCCAGCGAGCTCGGGGTGAAAAGATCAAGCCTACTGGTAACCAGGGAAATACGAAAGCAGCAAAGACAGAATAGTTCAGTAAGCAATAATGAACCCTTAAGGTGTGACACGGCGGAACATTAGAATCTGCCTTTAACAAATATTTTGCAATACAGAAACTGATCAGATCAGACGAACTGAAAGAAGTGCCAGTGTATCTGTACGGCCTGCATGTCTGTTTATTCAGAAAATATTTCTGTCCTGTCTTCTGCGTTTCAAAGCAGTGTGCTGCGTTCGGTAGGCACTGGGACCAAGCCGCAGAGTGCCTAGCTCGAGCTCACAGCATATCGGGGAATCCCACCCCTCAGCCTCAGACAAATACATCAGTCATTACAAACGCAGTGACTTCTAGGATGCAAAATGAGATGGTGTGATGAAGAGAGGTTGATACAGCGAGCCCAGGTTAGACTGGGAGATCATAGAGCGTGCTGGTATGTAGGCCAAGCCTTAGAGGCAGTGCACATTTAGGAGAACGAGATGCAAGGTGTTCAGCTGCGGCTGCTGGGCTGCACACTGCTGTCCTCAGTGTCGTGTAGAGTTGGTCAAAGGAAACATTTTAAACACTAACTGCTACTTTAAAAAAACTAATAGAAATTAGTAGTACAGTCATCTCTGCTATCCTGTGTATATACTTCCATGATTTTCTTCCCCCTTCCTTTTTTTCCTGTCTTTTCTCCTGTCCATCTCCATGGTTTATTCCTTATGTTCAGTTTCTTTCTGTTTTACTGTGTCTATTGTATCTTTCAGAATTTATTTATTCTTTCAGGTTCTCACAGTAGGAAGGTAATACAATGTTCACACATGTGGGCCTGATTTATGAATATAGCCTCTAGTTGCATCCATTTACATGTAAAACCCTCAAGTTTATCTTATCTATTATTATTATACTCTTTTTAGGATTTTTTTTTTTTTTTTGGCTGCTTCAGGCTGCCTTAAGGGCAAGTCCAGGGGTCAAACCGTGGTCCCCTGTGCTTGACTGGGTTTGCCAGAGCAGGCACTTAAACAACTGAGCTAATCCGCAACCCCCAAAATTTGAGAAGGATTTTTTTTTTTTTTTTTTTGGTTACCTCAGGCTGCCTTACAGATGGGTCTATGCAGCTACAGGAGCTGGGAATCGAACCGCGATCCCATGCACCTGGCTGCATTTGCCCAAGCAGTGCTTTAAACAACTGAACTATCCAGCAAGGCCATACTCTCTTTAAGTTTTTAAAATATTAAAAAACTAAAATAAGTTTAAAAAGTAAAAAGAACAAGAAAAAAATTAAGGTTTAATGAAAGGAAGAGTTCATGTTTAATTGTTTGATGGATCTTGCATGCCTATACCTTAACAATACATAATATAACAACAATTGTTAATTTTCTATTCTTGTTTTGAAATTCTGTACCATTTGTATTGTTTTATGTTGCTCAGTTTCTGTCTTTATTCTTGTTATTTTTGTATTTGTTTTTCCTCTTTATAATAAAAATAAAAAAGAAGCTGAGCCTTAAGAAGGTGGCCCAGTGGAGAGTCAGGTGGGAGAAACACTGCCATCTAAGGGAACCGTGCTTGCCACAGGTGTGAGGTAGCAGTCGGGAGCCCCTTGGAGCAGGAACACATGAAGGGGAGCCATCACAGAGGGCGGGACTGCGCCCTGAGCACCGTGCACAGGTGCCATGGAGGGCTGAGGATGCAGTTGAGGGCACCCTGGTAGCATGCCCCAAAATTCACCCTGACTGCAGCTGCAGAGTGCCACACCCACGAGACACACCTGGGGCTTATGTGAGCCAGGCCCTGCAAGTGGCCTTGACACCCGGTAAAGCAGGTTCCCTCCAGGGAGGCCCAAGGCTGAAGGAATAGCAGCACATCCTGCTCCTTTCAGTCCCCGTGACTTTGGCAGCACTCCTGTTTCCAGCTTATCTCAGAGCATTGTGGAAACCGGCCCCCACCTCACCACCTGCTCTGCTGAAGTCTCATTTTGAAGTCAAGTGTTGGCTCCCATGAAATGAAGCTTCAGCTCAAAATCTAGAACTGTAGTTTTTAAGAACTAGAGACTTGACGAGGAAAGGAGTTGTAGCTGTCACCCTGAGATCATTTGTAGGTAGGATGCTACTTCCAAGAGATTCCGTCTAGTGCTCCATGAAGACCCGTGACAACTTCCCTAGCCATCTGCCTCGCATTTGCCTAACAAGTTAGTTCACACTTTCTGTCACTTTGGCAGCTTTGAAGAACTGGGAGGAAGGAGGAGGCGACAGCTATTGATGCACGGATTAGACCTGCATCCACTCAAGCTGGGGAAGCAGGGCGCTTTCGGTGAGGGGGACTTGTCCGCACTAACTCCGCTGTTTCTCTTCGCAGGTGGGGCACCCAGGGTGACTTCTCTACAACCCATGCACTGCCTGCTGTGAAGGTGAAGCTGTTCACAGAAAGCACCGGTGTCCTGGCCCTAGAGGACAAGGAGCTTGGGCGGGTAAGTCCTTCCCGCTCCAGGAGGGATCACAAGAACTCAGAGTGGCACCCAGTGCACAGGCAGTGCCCAGGCCACCGCAAAGCCACTTCACCAGGTGCTAAGAGACCCACCTGCCAGCTCGAATCTGGGGCTTCTCTCTCCAATTGCTGTGGGACTTTGGAGAATCCTTCAACCTCTCTGAGCCTCAAGTTCTTTTCTATTAGCGTGAGCTAGCAAAGCGCACTCCAGAAAGCAGGGCATGGCTTCTCAGCAGCGCCGGACCCGCACACCCTCACGGCAAAGATCTGTCATGGCCTCGACTGTCTTGAGGTGAAATTCTTAGGCAGCCCAACTACCTCCCCACCTGACGTGCTAAAATCAGTAAAATAGAGTTTTAAAAAGAAACCAAAAAACACAAAAATTTGTAGAAAAAAAAGAACTTCACAGGCTGAGGAGATAGCTCAGTGGCATAAGCACCTGCCTGGCAAGCTCAAGGTCCTGAGTTTGATCAGTGGTACAAAAAACAAAACAAAAAAACACTTCACAACATGAGCATAAAATATCTCTAGAAGCAGTGCTCTACCTGTCCCCTTATGAGAGTCACTCTGAAGGTGACAGTGACGGCATCCATTGCAGAGGGTGCTGTGTTTAAGACTCCCAAGCCAGAGCACCCAGAGACTGATTTACTGATGAGGTGGACAAATGTAGGGAAAATTTCTTCGGTTTCCCGTGAAATGTAATGAAGCACTTTGACGTCAGAGTTAGGATCTCGACTGCATTCATCTAGAGGAGCCTTTCTACCTCATCTGATAACCAGCAGGAATATCCAAAAGCCAGGTGGGACACAGGGCCCTTCCTCCAGGGAGGCCGCGCGGGCCCTGGACTCTCCTGGCACACCTGTGCAATGCCAGCAGAGACCGTCGCCAATTACTCTGCCATCCGAGTGGCCTCATAACCTCCGCGATGCCACCCTCTTTAAGAATCCTGAGATACCAGCCACATTTCTCCTTGCATCTCAGCTCTTCACTCTGCACTAAGCAGCTGCAGCTGTTTTCAGGCCTGTGTTTGTCACTTGTTGGCTTCATTTGCCTCCCTGACCTGACACTGTGACTCAGCTTGCAGTCTTGAGCAGCACCCCCAAGACTCATGTGTTCTGGTTTCCACCGCTGTATGAGCCTCACAGGCCAGCTGCCACGTGGTTGGCCAGACTTCAGTCACGCAGCCAATCAGATCCTTTCCCTCCTTGGGGGCTTGCATACTTCCTGGAGAACCCTCCCTGCCTCCCAGCTCTTCCAGGGGCAGAAGTGACTTCTGCATCAGTTCCACTCTTCGGGGAGCCCTTTCCTCTGTGCCATCCTCCTTCCTGCACACCAGCCTCTGCTGCCGTCCTCCTTGACCCACACTGGGCTGCCCCTGGGGGTCGGAGCTCCATGGGGTGGAAACATGCACTGTTTCTCACCACCGCATACCAATGCTGCCAGGCTTTTTGCTTGTTCCTAAGCCCGTGTTGCTCTGCTATGGCAGCCCCAACGAAATGCCACAGGCTGAGCAGCTCGGACCACAGAAATGTCATTTCCCACATTTCTGAAACCTGGAAAGTCTAAGTCCAAGAGTGAGTCCCCAAGGTTCTGCTTCTGTCTCAGGATTCCTGTGTCCTGGGCGGCATGGGGGGTGGAGATTCGCAGGGGTGTCTTCTCGTCACATGCAGTCCCGGCCGCGCCAGATGCAGCCCATCCGTGTGGCCTCACTTCCCCCCATCACCTCCTATACCCTAATCCCCAGATGCGGCCACACATGGTTTCCATGGCTTCACCGCATGAAAGTGGGGTGGCCCGGGTCAGCCCGCAGCACTTTTTATTAGGTGTAACCCATCCTGGCTGGCACACTCCATCAGACTACATGCCGTAGCCCAGACATTTAGCCTGTCTGCTCATTTGCCGTCTTCGTGAGCACCACCCGGACACACGCGGCACACATACTTAGCGATGTCTTGAAGACTCCTGCTCTGTGATTTCCTTGTTGTCCCCCCTCACATTTTTCCACTCTCCTGGTCCAGCTTTCCTACAAGTTTGCCATGGAATCATATTACTAGGACAGAGAGCACAAAGGGTGGTGACGCACATATTAAATAAGGCTAGAAGAAAAACAGTACTCCCTCCCCAGCAAGGGGCAGGGGCAGAGCGGCTTGTTTTTGTTAAGAAATGGTGGGTGTTCGTTTGTGCCCTAGGGACTTAGAGAGACACAATAGGGGTGCAGCCTGCCCTCTACTTCTGCTGATGTGTTTCTCTTCCCACAAAAAAAAGACCTTGGGGATCCTCCGAGCCCCGAGGACCTGTCGTGTTGCTGTGAGAAAGGCCAAAGAAAGCCAGGCTGCGTGGCCCCAAGGGCCAGAGGTCAGGGCCAGCAGGCCTCTGCTCACCCCTCGAGGGCCGCCATCCTCCGGGCTCTGGCACAGCCGCTCCGGGCCTGCCGCAGCGAGGCGCTTCTGGCCTCATCTGCACAGCTCGACACACCGAGGCCAGAGACGCGGAGTAAGCAACCTCCCGGCTCGCCGGCCGCTTCCTGCGTCAGGCTGACCCCAGGGAGAGGAGCGGCTGGAGGCTCAGCTGTGCGAAAGCCACGCTGCACCCTTCCGAAGGGTCACAGGGAGCGAGGCCTCCTCTGGCCCTGGGCTGGCTGCCGCCCTCTGCACCTGGGCCCGCAGGGGGGAGGGTCTGCATGCTAATCCTCCAAGCTTGGGGGAGGCACGTGCACAATCCAGGGGTTCCGCTCACCTCTTCAAACATCTTTAGGCTATTTTCTTTGTATTTTGTTTTTTTTAATTAAAAACAAAATTCATGCACATTATTAAAAAATTTAAAAGGAAATTTAATGGAAATTAATGATCCCTTTCACTCTTACCTAATATTTCTCCACAGTGAAAACATCTCATCTGCAATGTATGGTAAATCCCTCCCAAAATATTCTAGGTACACACAAGCACAGCTATACATACATACATACATACATACATATATATGCTTTTTATTTTAAACGCACAGAACTGGAGGTTCCACACTACCCCACATATTGCTTGAAATATCAGCGTGCTTGGGAGTCGGTCCTTTGCAGTGTGTGCTGACGTGACCTTGGCATAGGTGCCTACTAATCTGTTTTATTCATATATTTTGTTCAACGAGTCCTTTGCTGCTGCATTTTTAGACTATTTCATCTCTGACTGGATAAATAATGCTTTGGTGAATTGCACTGACCCTATTTCTTCCATATGCTTATAGACCCATAAATTAAATTTATAGACCTATAAATAAATTATAGACCTATAATAAAATGTTAATAAATTTCCCCCATCAAATTTTCCTAGGCTGGCCAGATAGCTCAGCAGACCAAAGTGCCTGCTTAGGCAGGCTCAGGGACAGGAATTCCATCCTCCGCATACAGTGTTAGCCCTGCCCCCCGGGAACTGGGCTTGGTGGCGAGGGCCTGTAATCCCAGCACTTGGGAGGCTGAAAACAGGAGAATCGCTACAAGTCTGATCGGCATGGTGAGGCCCTGTAGACCCTGTACTAATTACATTTTTTAAAAATCCCAATATGCCAAATTCGACTCCCACATAAAAGAGCACCTACTTCCCCCTACCCTGGACGAACTAGCAATATTATCTAATTGTATTCAACTAATACGATCGCAGGCCTGCTGTGCAGTCCTTACTGCAGAGTAAACAGGCATGCAGACAGGGAAGGATCTCTCACCTCGCAAAGTTCAACCGGCAAAGACACAAAACCTAGGCGCAGCGGCATGGTGGGCAAGAGCTTTGCTGAAGAAAGAAGTAGACGCCAGGCAGGGAGAGAGAGGAAGAAGCCGGCGCTGGACGAAGCAGGACGCAGACCCCGCCCGCGTGCCGGCACCAGGGGAAGCGGCAGGCCTGGGGCGCAGCTGCCCGCCCACGAGCCTGCGGTGACCGCAGCCCCGTCCCACATCATCGAAGCCCAGCGCACGTGGGCCTCCAGGAGATGACTCCTAGGGGGCGTGTGAGCAGCGCGGGGCTCCCCCGCAGGGGCCGTGTCTTCACACCGCGGACATCGGAGTTGTCCCAGCAACAAGCGGGCTAGGCGGAGCGAAGGAGGAGCACTCTGGGGACCTCAGGTCACCGTAGGCGGTGGAGGCCGTGTCTCCCCAAGGGGTGACCACTGCAGGGGTAAAGCCAGTCAAGAGCTGTGGCCATTTGCATCGCAAGTGGAAAGCGCAGCCGTGATCCTGCGATGGGAGGCCCATTTGCGAGCGCAGGGCCCCAGCGTGCTCTGCTGCGCCTTTGCCGCAGCATGCTGCGCAGGGCCTCTCCTGCTGCTGCACGGGGGCCTGACCCGGCCCCTGCCGCTTCCAACACACCCACCCAGGTGGGCTCAGGACACAGCTAGCGCCACAGGGCTGGAGCTGCTTCCCGCCACCTCCAGAGCGGCAGTCCTCAGGATGCAGAGTGTGACCCGGGGGTGACAGTAAGCACCTCCTGAGGATGGGGACAGGGTTTGCACCACCAGGGACGCCCTGATCTGCTTCCATATCCACCCCATGGCATGTTCGGTTTGCCAGCCTTCGCCAAGTAAATTTATATACATTCCAATGTAGTTTGAAGCCAACCCTCACAGAATGAACTGAAGGCCTAAAAATACTGCTGTAGGGAGCTCGGATTGGCGCAAGCAGGACACTGCTGGAGTTCACACCTGGTCTCTGATGTCTCCAGATGAAAGGACAGAGATATCAGCGGACACTACAAGCTGTCACGCAGTGTAGCTTGAAATTATTTAGAAGGCTGCGGGAACTCTGCATTTATATACATTAGCAAGGGACCTTACCATCAAGGTGATGAATTATAGTATCTTAAGATACAGCTAATCATATTAGCTATCATAGCAATTAGAAAGGGATAGTCCTCACTTTGTTCCCGCGGTGTGTTGGTTCCAGGACTTCCTACAGACACCAAAGTCCTCAGATGTCGAGGTCCCTTTTATCAAATGACGTTGATGTCCCTTTAATTGCAGATAGCCAGGGCACATGCTCTGAGACTCTTCAAATCATCTCTCACCCGCTTCTGTACCCTAGTAGAATGCAAATATTATGTAGAGAGTTGCTGCTCTGTATTGCTTAGGGGATAATGCCCAGAAGTAAAACTCCATTCAGTTGCAATTATTTTTTCCCAACTATTTCCCATCTTCAGTTGCTGAATCCCATCGAGGAAAAACCCGCAGATAGAGAGGGCTGAGTATGCTAGACAACTTGGAGTTTGCCCCTTAGCTTTGGCTATCTTTAAAGCCTCTGCATTTGTATATATTTCATGCATGCAATGATGTATTAGTACAAAGTAAAGCAAATAAGATAGCAGCATACAGACATTTTCTTGCGTACAGCATGAGCAATCATCTACGGCAGCCACTGCTCTGGGAATTCAGACCTCCTGTTTTCGGTATGTCCTAAGACGGCGGGAAGGTTGGAGCTGTGTGTTTGGCAGCAATGTGCAGTATCAGTTTTCTTCATCATAGAGAGGAAAGGTTGTAGTTAAAAAAGAGAGGGGTCAAGTCCAAAGTGAAAGAGGTGACAGGCAGCAAGCGTGAGGCTGAGTTCTGGCCGTTTCTGTTACAGCCTTTGTGCTTAGCAGAGCTCTTCCATGGTCAGGAGGGAAAACGTACACAATGTGATTAAACCCAGCTTGTATTTAACTTTTTAAAGATGTGTTACAGTAAAAGACACATCTCCGTGTCTCCTCAGTCGTGCTGCCAGGCTCCTCCCTGTCCTAAGCTGCTTCGAACATTTACGGAAATTTCGGTCAAACAAAAACCATTATGGTGTGTCCTCACTCACGCTGCTCATCAGATCTGTCACCTTCCCCAGAGGCAAAATGGGGGAGTAAGTGATGTCTCTTGATTCATGACATTGCAGCAGTTGTCACAGTACAGCCTGGAAGGTCAGAGGCCAGCCCTCAGGTTCAAGTCCTGGAGAGGCCCCCTGGTTTGGGACAGAAACCCAGGGCAGGAGCCTGCCTGCCTTGCACTCAGAGAAAAGAGAGATTTTGAAAACAAGACTAACAGGAAACACACCAGGCGTGCTGCTCTCACAGAAGCAGTTCTGAGCAAGCCCGGCTTCTGCACTGCCAAGGTTTAGCTCATGCGCCCTTAGTTCATGGGATTTCCCAGCTCTCTCACTCCTGCCTGACTCTGTTCCTCGTATTCCATGTGGCTTGGGCGCTGCACTCTTCGGGACAGGTTTCCCAGTCCAGTTGGATGCAGCCGACATGCATGACCCTAATCAAGTCCTTTCCTTCTCCACTCTCCCACTCCTCACCCAGCTGATGAGGTCCCTTCCGTGGTCTACTGCGGGCTTTGAGAAATTTCTCCACTTGAAAAAGTGAAGGAGAACAGAAACATGGTGGCAGGCAGGGAGTGAGGCACCCAGACCTGCAGATTTCGCTACCTGCTAAGGAAGAACGATTTCTTATTTGGTGTAGCTGGTGGTAGTACGCAAAAACAAGATCATTGAAAAGATGGAGAAATTAGCATGCAGAGAAACTGACTTGTCAGAGGTTGCGGAGCAAAGCACTGGCGAACCAAAGGACAAAGCCAAAAGGTCTCAATTCTTTGACCAGCGTTTCAGTCCACTGACTATGCAGCCTAGTGCAATAAACTGGAATGATGGTAAAAATACAAATATGATCCCAAATCAGAGCATGCACCTCATTACCAAGGTCATCTTACCTGGGACAAATACCTAAAAGAAACATGTTCAGTCCAGCGCCTGTCCATTGCTTCAAACAGTCCGATACACCTCCAAGCAATGAGTTCAAGATCAGCATGAAGTTGGAAGCACAAGACGCCAGGAACACCACATCCACCTGTATCGCCACAGTGTTGGACTGACAGGTGCCCGCCTCCTCCTGCGCCTTGATGGCAGTGACAGCAAGAATGACTTGTGGCGGCTAGTTGACTCAGCTGAGATCCAGCCTGCTGGGAACTGTGAGAAGAGTGGGGGTTCGCTGCAGCCCCCTTTGGGGTCTCGCTGCGCAGCTTGGACTCATAACGATCCTCCTGTCTCAGCCTCCCAGCACTGGGCTTATAGGTGTGTGCCACCACGCGCACGGTTTCAGTGGCTGGCACAGCACTCTGGGGTTCCAGAGCTGGCGTGGTATGCAGTACCAGGGATCAAACCCAACTCCTTCACTTGCCAGGAAGTCACTTAGACCACTGAGCTATCCCTGGAGCCCACCACTTTCTTTTAATTGCTTATCTTTCCATTTTTTAAAAATACGGACAAAACCATATGTAGGTATTGAGAATTTGTCTTGTATGTATTTTGACAGAGATTTGCCTATAATGCTTAGGCAACAGGTGGTATACTTTACATGGCTTTCTCATTTATTTCATATGTCCTAAACCTAATTTCACAAAATACATTCCTCATTCATTTTTACTACTATATAGCACTTTATTATTCTCATGCTGCTTTATAAATTACTATTTAGAAGCATCTTTTTTTGTATTGATTTTGTTGAGAAGGGAGTAGCAATGAGATGGTTCAGGGAAGGCTAGTGGGACAGTTTCATTGATTGGTACATGGCATAAATCTTTGTGGTTCATAGTACAAGATGTAGACATGATATCTTGTCTGAACACTGTTGGTTCAAGACTTTCTTCTCATTGAACTAAGAGAGAGTGGCTGTATAGCTATGCTGACTATTTTATATACATATATATTTATATCTTATTTCACTACAAAATGGTCCTTCATTTGTATCCCCCTTTTTTGTTTCCTGTTGTCGGAGATGGGTATTCCATTGCCATTCAAGTACTGTGCATGCATGAATTCGGCAGGGTAATCTAACATGGTCTGGTGGTCTATGAAGGTAGTGGGTTATCCACATGACTGGCAATGTCAGAAGCTGTTGACTAGAGCCTTTTACAGCCCAGCATGTTAATGTGGCTTCGCTTTTTGTACTTTGTTTTTGTACTTTTCTGCTGGATGGTTGAGACCAGGAAAAAGCAAGACCTATATAACAAGAAATGTAACTTTTGTGTCTTTCAGGGTCAGTCAGGTCCCCTCAGGATTTACCCTGAGGCCCTGTACAGCACTTTGTAGATCTTTTATCAGTGTCAGCCATGTGGATGAGTCACGGCCATTGCTTGACTGATTTGCTCTCTGTGGGAGCCTGAGAGAATGTTTTCTCTCTATGTGACTCTCCTTAGGCACACTCTAGATCATCAGTCACTTTCCTCTGTGGCCCCATGGTCTCCTTGATTGGAAAATTTGGGACACCACTGAGTTTCAGGATGCTGAGGGTTCTCTTGTGTCCTGAGTCTTCACTCACCTTCAAGGGCTGGGCCAGTGGTGTTGGCTGTCCTTGCAGCCCTTCTTTTGCTCTGGTTTTTTGGTTTGCAGGCTTAGGTTGTTGACCCTCCAGGGAAGAAGCTTAGTGACATTGTTGCCCTAGAACATGGGCTGTTGAGCTTGGCATCAGCATGTGAGTATCGAGCGCCTTGGACATGGCATGGAGCAGGTGTTTGCCATCAATCATTGATGTGCTGGACTTTGGATACCTACAGAATGTGAAAAAGATAGAAAAGATAAAAAAAGAAAACATGAATGAAATAATAAAGAATAGAGGGAAAATAGCATGCTGACAACATTCTCTGCTGCGTGAGGATATTTCTGCAGCACACATCTTTTTATTTGATGAGGAGGAGAATAATGTCCTCATTCCTGGCTGCCTTAGTACTTTTAAATGTTAGAACAGCCAAAGCAGACTCAGAAATGGTGATCCTTCCTTTTACAAAGTCAGCCAGAAAGAGAGGAAGGACAGCAGGAGACTGGCACCGGCCACGTGGTGAGCCAGGATGGAGCGTGCCGGGCCGGGCCCGAAGGACCGGGCAAGCCCTGCTGCCGCTCCGTATCGAGGTCTCCAGTCGTGGAAGCACATCTGGGATGGTGTTCCTTTCTCCTGGCTAACAACAACCTGTCCTCTTGCCCTACAGGTTATTCTCCACCCTACCCCGAATAGCCCCAAGCAATCCGAATGGCACAAAATGACAGTTTCCAAAAACTGCCCAGATCAGGATCTCAAAATCAAACTTGCTGTCCGAATGGATAAGCCTCAAAACATGAAGCATTCTGGGTAAGTGTTTCTTCCTGTGTGGCCATTGGGTTACGGCTCCGTTCATGCCTCAGGACAAAATTAAAACGGGTTGTAGCTTAGGGGTAGAGCTCTGGCCTAGCCATGGCTTCAGCCTCTGACACTGCAAAAAAGAAATTCATAGAACAAAAACACAACTGATTTTCACAGAATGGCATGGAAGGAAGTATGAAGGGTTTGTGAGAAATTATCAACATACGTGACTTCCATAGTTGCTGTAAGCTTCCACAAGTCTTAATGATTACAATATTTACATTTTTTTTATGAACAGAGAATAATGTCCTCCTTGCTTCTCCTCTTTTCTTTGCTTCTTTTTCTCCCTCTCTTCTTTTTCCCTCTGCTTCCCCTTCCTTCTTCTTCTTCTCCTCCCTCCCTCCCTCTCTCTCTCTCTCTCTCTCTTCTCCCCGAATTTCCACTGGGATTCAAACCTTGCAGCAAGTGCGCATGGCCTTCCTGTGTGGTGAGCTTTGCAGCCTGCTACGCCCAGGGAGAGGCCTGCCTGCAGGCTGCTCTGACCTTGTACATTGCTGTCTTGTACTTTCAGCAACAGACACCTCCAGGAGGTATGAACAATTGCTGAAGCCCCCTTGGGCAACTAACGTGCCATTTTAGGATTTAGTCTATCATTTAAGTAAATGTCAAAAAAAATTGAAATGTATGACCATCTTCATTATCTTAAGATTTGAGTGGAATATCAATTAAATAATTTCAAGTGGGGCAAAAAGGGTCAGTAGGTATGGATTTATTTTATAAATCAAACCATGACCTGTGCAGAGCATGCTTACTGACCATTGAATAAATGTTGATCCATGGCTTGTTAAACCAAATTGCTTGACCCTCACAGTGTCAGAAAATGTGGACCTTAGCGTGGCTCCTATAACTCTGAGTTGGGGAATGTTTAACCAGCTGCAGGAAAGGGACTGTTTTAAGTACTCTGCCAGCCATCATTCTGCTTAGCTGGTCACCGGAAAGTTCTCTTTCCTGCTCCTTCAATGAAAATGCTCTTAACAGTGGCTGAAAGCGTCAACACTGAGGACTGGCTGCATGCTCTAGAAGAGATCGAGAAGCCCATCATCAACGCCCAAGCAGGGATTGGGCCAGGTGAAACACAAGAAGCCCAGGAGGCCGTGGCCAGGACTGAAAGTGGACGTCCTAGTGGCTGAGCAGCCCACAGTAGGGCAGCAGAGGTCAGCCCCCCAGCAGGACAGCCAAGGTCAAGGAGCAGTCCAGGCGAGACAGTGATCTACTAGCAGGGCACCAGCGTGATTCCGGCTAGAGTGCTCCAGAGGCAGCAGCCGCCCCCACGCTGTGGATCTACTTCCGGAACTCAAGCTCTACGTGGGCTTGTGGGATTCACATCACACTGCCTGAGGCACAGGTTGTCCCCAGTGCCTGAGATGGGACTGTGGTATGAGCAACTGCTGGGGCGTGAGTCGGGCCCTGAGAATGCACTCAGCCCTTTCCAGCCAGCAGGGAGGAAATCCAGCCAGGGTGTCCTCCTGCCCCGCACTGTATTCCTGGCACATGTCCCCAGATATCAGTGACATTCTCCCTTAGTGCTATGTGTGTTTGCCCTGGAGGGTAAGCTTCCTAGGTTCCAGACAAAGGAGCTGAGCACTCTGATAGGTTCCTAGAGCGCAGCAGGAAAGACCCTAGTCTTCAGCAAATCCTGACTCATACTCAAGGAATATTTTCTAGGCAAGAAGGAGCAGGTCGGAGGGAGCAGGAGAGGGAGTGGGGAGGAGATGGCAGGCGGCAGGCAAAACGGTCGCAGCGTGTAAGAATATGAGCAGAACGCATCCCCCACGTGCTTTGAACCCTGCCCCAACTGTGAAACTGGTGGGGGAGGGTGGGGTAAATTGGGCGATGGGGGGTTAAACCGATCCAAACATATACAGTCAACCTGACAAAATAAGACTCTGTAGTCTGCAGAACCAATTTAAAAAGAGTAGGAAAAAATCAAACAGAAGCAAGCAAGAAAATGATTTCTTGGGCTGACCAAATAGCTCAGTGGATTAAAGTGCCTGCAAGCAGAAGCAGGAGCCGGGGATTCGATCCCCAGACCTGCTGTGCCGGCCCCGCCCCTGGGGCACGCTGACATGGCAATTGAGACTGAGCATGGTAGCATGTGCTTGTAATCCCAGCTCTTGGGAGGCTGTAAATAGGTGGATCACTACGAGTCTGATCTAGTAGTGAGACCCTGAACACCCTGTAGACCCTTCCCTAAAAAATTATAAAAATAAAAGAAAATGATTTCTCTCACTGAAGTGGACTTTTTGAAAAAGTTTTATTCGTTTATTTGGCACAATGCCTTGCGACACAGTGCAGACTCTCAGTGGTCCTTGTGATACTCCTGTCTCAGCCTCCCGAGCACTGGGGTTACAGGCGTGCACCCCACACCCAGTTCAGTGGCCCACACAACAGGCCTGGGGTTCCAAGAAGAGCATGTCATGCAGTACCAGGGACTGAACCCGGGTCCTTGTACTTGTCAGGCAGGTGCTTAGACCAACGAGCTATCTCCCCAGCCCTGAAGTGGACGTTTTGACAAAGAGAAAAAGCATAGCTATCTAAACTGGTGTTTCAAGGACGGTCCTTAAAAGAGGCACCTCAGCCCCAAGCCGAGGCTCTCTGATCCCTAGAGTAGGCCATGCACAAACACCCCTTCTCTGAGCAACCCCTGAGCCTCGGCCTTCCTTCCCCTGTTGGCCAAATTCCAGTTTCCTTCATTCTCTTGATTCACTTTGTTGAAAACCATACTAAGCAATCCAGGTTCAGGATGTATTTCCTATTGATTCATTTTTAGAATCATTACTGTATATGTCAGACTACCTTGACGCTACAGATGGATGTGGAGAGGCATGGCTAATTTCTGGCAAGTTCCATGATGCTTTGCAGCACTAGATAGTCAACAATTCCCCTGGCCATGTCCATAAAGCCTCTGGGGGGGGGGGAGGATGGGGCCAGGAAGAAAAAGTGATCAATATGCTGTACATATGTGAACCCATTCCCCAACATGGATATAATTATGACAAATCACAGACACATAGAAATAAATAAATAAGTGTCCAAAATAGACTCAATAGAATAGGGGGAATAATTAGCTTACTAAAAAAATTAAAAGGAAAAAACAAGGGCCAGCAAGCTAGTTCAGTGGACTAAACACCTACTTAAGCACGTGCAGGGGCCAGAGTTCAATCCCCTGTACCGCATGCCACACCAGCCCAGCCCCTGGGTGCACTGAGCCAGCCACTGAGACAGGGCGTGGTGGCGCATGCCTGTAGTCCCAGCATTGGGGAGGCTGAAAACAGGAGGATCACTATGAGTCTGAGCTGCATAGTGAGACCCTGCACCAAATACATAAGCTTTTTTAAAAAAGGAAAACAAAATAAAAGTTACCTTTGCCAGGAAATATACCAGGAGACCCCAGCATATCTCCTTAAAATGTGTAGATTCTTTAATAACACAATCAGATCCAAATGGCCTAATTCAGGGGCAGTCAACCTTAGCTACAAAAGATGTAATTCGCAGAAAATAAAAATGTTTATAAACTTTTATTCATTTAAGCTTACAGTAGTTTTGCTGAGTCCTGTTGCGCAGGGAAGGGGAAGACATCAGATCTATGTCACAGCTTAGGGAAGCGAGGGAGAAGGGAATTTTAAAGAAGTTTCACAGATAGGAGTCGCTGTGAAATCCCCCCGAGCCGGGGCTGGAGGCTCCCGGAGCAGCGCTGTTAAGAGCTCTTGTGTCATCTTGGAAAAGCCCGGAGCAAGAGCTAGCGACGAGGGCGCTTCCTCGCAGTCGGTCCAGCGAGGTCCCCCGGGTGCTTTCGTGCTGACGAGGACATGGGCTCCGCGCTCTCTCTCCAGCCCGAAGGGCCCCCCGGCCGCGGTCGTCTGCCTCTCCCTGTGCCCAGATGCTCCACCCGCAGCCGGCTGCCCCGGGTACCCCTTCGGCCCACCGACCTCCGCCGCCGTCGCGTCACCTTGGTGCACGCGTCCTGGGAGCGTCCTCCTTGGCCTTCCGGCGGGTGATTCCTCACTCTCCACCCACGAAAACTTCCTGCTTTGCTTTGCTTGCTTCATCGAAGCCAGATCCTAGCGCTTGAATCCGGACAGCCTTCCGAGAATGACCTGTCATTCAGAGCAGAGGCCAGCAGTTACCATAACGACGGGGCTCTACCCGTGCCACCGTGCCCTCGGCCCGCCTGGGTTCCCGAAGGACTCCCCTCCCGCTCCCCGGACCCTGGCCCGCTCCCCTGGCTTGCTGCCGGGGCTGCACTCGGCCCGCTGGGCGTCCGGCCTCCTCCCTGCTCTCCTGTGTTTGTGTCAGAGCTCTTCCAGCACATCACACGCCATGCATTTCTGCCTTCGCCTCTTTGTTGCCTCTCTTTTGACTAGACTGCACATTCCTTGTCAGCAGAGACATCTGTCCTCTTTGGTCACAGTACTGAAAATATGGGGCCTAAAACATTGCCACAGCCTAACAGATTCTTTGTCGTGTGCATGAATAATTGAGTGAGGAAATTCCAACTTTACAGATAAAGAAACAGAGGCTCAGAGGCTAAAATCGAGAGCCGGGTCTGGACTGAGGTGTCCCTTCTGGTTACACCTCAGCGGGCACGTGAAGCTTAATTAAAATGGTTCCACTTTGGACTCATTCAGTGAGCTCTGTTCCCCCAGCGGGACAACTGGCAGAAATTCTGATTTTCTGCCCATGTAGGGCCCTCAGCCACTCACACCCCCTCCTCTGCATCTTCCTGTCCACTCACCTCTGCGCCCTCGCAGGGCTCCGAGCGCCGCTTATGGCGGCACAGAGCCTCAGTCAAACCTGAATCTCTCACCACTCTGCCTAGACTGGACTAGCCCAGGGCTTTGAGGATCTCCTCTTGTCTCCCCGCGACCCGCTAACTTTAAATGGCAATTCGAGCCAGTCCTTAGCTAGTGCTGTTTGAGTGCTCTGCCTCCTTACTGATTTTCTATCAG